TATACTATTTATTATTCTAAGACAAGGTGCTCATTCCCAGCGATCTACTAATCATGTATCAAAATAAAGTGCTCGATCTGAAAATTTGCACGAAAATTCCAGATTTAAAAATCATTAGACCACTTTTGAAACATTTGCATGGAAAAATTTTTGAAGTTTTACATTGAACAAAGCATTGCTTCGTTCATTGCAACTGCGGAGCGTTCTGAATATGGATAAAAAAGTTCGTCCACAGCAACACCTTGAGTGGGTTTTTTCGGAGCGCTTCGAATATGGAGTGAGAAGGGAGCCAAAGTGTTTTTTCTCTTGTTTTTTTTTTTAACTAGTCTGTGAATTTAAAAGGAAATTTTTAATCAAGAAGAAACTGGTCGTCGTTTCCGAATATACCTGAAAAGGGACGCCGCGTAAAATGCTGTTGACGTTATGGCATTTAGAGGTAAAAAATAGTGCATAAAAAATTACTTTTGTCTAACTTTAGAACTTTTCAGATGTATTTAATAGAAACTATGCTGGATCTGGTAAAGAATTTCATAGAGTGAGCGGAAAGTGGTTCCGACCTACAAGGAACAAGATAAAATACATTTTGTGATCTACTTCAGGATTTTTCCATTTTTATTTCTTTGTTGCTGAACAGGGGCGTAGCCAGGTAGTGTATTTTCGCACGTTGGGCCGGTTTCCGGTTTCGAGCTAAATATCCTAACATTGATCTACCAGAAATACAAGAGAGTTTAAAGTAATTTGACCAATCCGTAAGGTACAAACTTTTAAAAACCGATCCAGATGCTCTAATTGAGATGCGACATTAGTCGTGTGGATAATCCCAATATACTAGATGTCTGGGATACTTTAAAAAGAGAATATCCCCATGTTTATAAAGTGGCCCTTAAACTTCTACCAATGCCCGCCACCTCTGTTCCATCGGAAAGGCAAAATTTTCGAAAAGTGGTTCATAATTACCAAATATCGATTAAAGAAATTTTTTAGATTTTTTGTTAGTGAAAATATAAAATTTTTTAAATTATTCTTCAAAAATATAAATTTTTAAAAACCCTCACAACCTATATGTTTTCAAAACTTTTAGAATTCCTTTAGTGTCTGTTTGTCTCTTGCCCAGCATTGGATTTCACTAAATTACAGATTATTCTAAAGACCATTTGTAAATCATGATCAGTCGATTTGTCGATTAGAGTCTAAAGTCGACTTTCTAGTAAAGTCGAACAACCCTAACATATGTGTTCACGGAATATTCAAAAGCCTTCAAATCGAATCAATCATTATAAATTCCTCACCCTAGATTTTGGTGATTCGTAGCTGACACAGTAGACTGGTGCTTCTGGCTGGAAAACCACTTCGCCATCTCCCATTGATTCAACACGCAGGTACACCTTTAGCTTTGGATTATCGCGTTTAAGTTGTCGCCACGCCTTCACGCTGCACGGCGAGATTGAGAGATGTGTGGAGGTGTAACGGTTTTGCAACAAATGCAAGTGTTTTAACTTAGTATCGGCTAATAACAACAAAACGTCATCATCGATGTTTTGGGGTGAAATTGTCAGTACCTTTGAATTATATGCAATTTAAGTAAACACATATGTACATATGTACATACATTAAAGAAGAATTGAGCGTACATAGTAGGGGAAGAAGTCGTAATGAATATGTTCCTCTCACCTGCAAATTGATAAACAATCCCACATGCATTATTGGGCAGTGAGTGGTTGTGACATTCACTAGATTCAGCACACGCATTTTCGTGCAGCACGATTCCAGCACTTCATCGAGCAGATGCTTTGCCTCGAAACGTTCCAACACGAAATCTATTAGTTTCAAAGTCCGTAGATCACGAAGTTTAGACAGCAGTTCCTTCAGACCTTTAAGCAATTGCCCGCCGGTGCCGAACAGCTTAATACCTTCGGGATCGTTGGCTTGTGACATATTGCAGGGGAATACATAGACAAGAGATCGTATGCGTGTTCCAATATCCTTGAGGTCAGCTGGTGCTTTTAACTCCGAGCTCTTATTTTTAAGTTGATTATAAAATAATAACATATTTGCATTAAAATATAATTATGTATATGGGCAAATCTAAAAAACATGCATACTTTTAAAACAAAAAGTTTAATTTTTTAATTTTGTTTTATATATGATATTTTATTAAATCGATAAATATAAGTGTAATTCATTTTGATCAAGTGCTTAAAAAGTTAGACGAGCAATAAATATTTAGATCGTTGAAACAGAAAACAAAAGAATTATCTGGGTTCAAATTATGCTGTGCAAGTTGTAAATTTTGAGCAAAGATTTTGAAAGTTTAACTCACATAATTGGGACATTCTAAATTCAATGGCATCACCCGTTTTACCAGATTGACCCCATTTTTCGAGATAGCGGTACTTCAAACTTTGCTTAAATTTTAAAAACCCGACTTAACGGTAATCATATACATACATATATGTATATAATTGCTCAGTCATATGACTTAGGGCGACCTGAAGCAGAGACACGGTTGAGCTGTAGATCAAATTAAATTGTAAGCTCCACAGGTTATTTAAAAACAAGTAAGAGCAGTGCTGTCTTGCTGTCTGCGGCTATGCCGAAGGCTTATTACTTCTATGAAATAAATTTTTTATATTCACAACATACATACTTAGATAGAAAGCATTTCATGTCACCGCGGCCACCTCTGTGCGCGACCTCTCAAGATTTGGATGAAAGTTGAAGCTATAATTGGAGGTCTAATATTCTTTTGCAATGAAACCGAAACATCAACAACATCAACATGAACAACACTCATTGCAAAAGAAGATTAGACCTCCAATGGTAGCTTGAAGGTTAGTCCTTTTATTAAAACAAGAAAAAGGAAGGGTGTGTAAAAAAAATAAACCTAATGAGTAATAAAATTATAGTTAAAAAAACCAACAGCACGCTTTTATTACAAGAAGAACTAAATGGAAAAAAAAAATTATTGATTTAAAGATTCGTTAAATAAGGATATGAAGTTCCCTAATCTGACGTTATTTAACCTTTTAAACTAGCTTAAAATAGGATTAAAGTAATTGGCACGTAGTCATGGTCGAAATAAAGTCCACTGAAAAGTTAGTTGCAGCTATTTTTTACAGGCATCACATTGGTAGAGGGCTTCGGGTGTACGAATTTGTTGTAACATCAGGAGTTGAAGACTTGCTCTAGCTGCTAGTCTCTTAAAATTTCCACCAATCACGTCGTAAGCGGATTTCCCATGTGAACTTGCAACAAAGTTCAATTCTGCCATTTCCTTGAAGCGATTTTCATGATTTCAGACCTTTGGTAAAGTTAATATGATTCATTTATGTTGTTTTTGTTTTTTACACCCGTTTCCTCTTTCAAAAATATACAATTTCATAAAATTTCAATGTCTATTCATCATATTGCTCGAGCATTAGACGATCTAGAGTCTAAACGCATAAGTAGCCCATTACGCCCATTTTGGTAAAGTTGACATTATAGACAACGTTTTTATGTAAAAATAAAAATTTTTAAAAATGCTATAATCAACAAAAAATCAAAAAGAAAAATGTTTGCATAATTTATTTTTGTTTTTTATACTTTGCACATTAATGTAAAAAATGTACAATTAAAGCTCATAATTAGACGGAAGAAATACATTTCTTTTCATTAAGTTGCGTTAAAAGGTTTTCAAGATACAGCACTTTAAAGAAAGGTATGTATGACGTTTTCTTAAAATGTAAGTCCCGTGTAAATAGGTAACCCTACGTCATATCGGCAAAATATGCTGCACGTATATTCATGTCACATAGACCTTCCATCTCTTCAACTTACATGCAAATCCTTAGAGGTCGCGCACAGTGGTGGCCGCGGTGACATGAAATGCCTCAGATGGCACTTCTTCAACTATTGATTGAAACCATGTAGCCGGACTACTTGTTTTTGATATGTAACTAGAAAAGGCAATCAACCTTATCATGAGTTTTATTTCCGCCCTTTCACTTTTTAATTCGCGTATTCCTTAGGGGCAGATAAAAAATATTCGGGCGAAACTCACGATAAGACTAACTAATTTTCCGCTAACCATTTAAAAAGCAAATTAAATTTTGCTGTCCCAAGAATTAAACGGGGACATTTTGATTTTAAACGGGGACACGGGGACACAGGGTCCGAAGCGAGGAAATGTCCCTGGAAACGGAGACGTATGCCAGCCCTATACTAAATGCCTTTTGCTATTAGTTAAAATTGTCTTGATTTTGTCACACAAAGAGGAGGGACCTACAGTTTTACGCCGACTCCGAACGGCGATTGTATTTTTTGAGAAGCTGTTTTTCATGGCAGAAATACACTCGGAGGTTTGCCATTGCCTGCCGAGGGACGACCGCTGTTAAGAAAAAAACCTTTTTTCTATATTTTTTGCGATGTTGCTTTGACCCAGGCGTTGCGGAGTGGAAGCGCGCACTGCTTACCACTACACCACAGCGGCCGACCATATATACATATGTATTAATAAGGATTAGTCAGTCAACTACATTAAAATTTTGAAATAAAATTTTTCCCAGTGTTGTTACATACTTTTTTAAAAAATCCCCACGCAGCGAAATAAAAAGCCCTATTTTTGCCTACGCTCACATATTTTTCCCTACAAAATTCCCTACACTTTGTTTTGACCCATTTCGTTTTTATACTCATTATTTGCTAAAATATATACTCATTATTTGCTAAAATAGTGCTAGCAACGCAAACATGTGTAAAACTTTAGAATGTAGAAAATAAAAACCTCAATTAAAAAATGCTCACAAATTCCTCAAGTTCGACTAATTATATGCCAAATACACCAAACAAATGCTATGCCAGTACTAGAATGTTGCCACAAAAACGGGCTGATTTAGACTTTGTTTTTTTTTAATTATTCCTAAAAAACATAATAGTGGTACAAAGCTCAATAACAATATTGAAAAATTTCTAACTTTGAAAAACATTTTGTAGTCGGTCGAAAATTCCCTGCATTTCAAGCTTGTTTAAAAATCTGTCCTTTTTTCCCTACAGTCATTATTCTTCAACAATAATCCCTACGTGTAGGGATTTTTCCCTACGTGTAACAACACTGCCTCCCCCCTAAAATCGGTCCTGGCGACACCCATGGGTGTGCTGCAAAAGTTATGACATAATTAATTTTTCACCTCTTAAAAACTACATAAAAAACTCACTTGTTTTAATATTTGTTTTGAATTAAAACATATAATTCAAAAGTTATGCAACAAATTGATTCAACATTTTTTTTAGGCTTCAAGTATTCGTCTATGAATTATATCAAAAAGTAACCTGCTTGATATAGTTTACAACAATAAAGCTAAATAAAACAAAGGTTACCTGGTTTTTAGATTTGCCCATATACATATGTACATAGGTATGTATAAACATAAACTTACTTTTTCCATGCCCCATGAGAGCATTGTCATGAACTGGAAAATGTTATTGAAGCTGTGCTCTGGCCTGAATTCCAAGCCACGCATGTATTTTCCAACTCGCGATAAGCAATTCTGCGTCCGTATATGATCCAGGCAATATTGCCAGCCAGAGTAGTAGTTGTATTTAGCACGCGTGAGAGTCCGATCATCGACCACAAAGTTGTGCCACACCATGGGCAGATAGAAAGCATTATACCATTGCTTGCACACCTGTAGCGAAAGAGCATTTAAAAGTTGGAGACAGTAGTTCGATCCTCAGCCCTCTGGCACGTTTAATAACATAGACAAATATTTCAAAATTTACGTCTTTTGAGTTTTCATCATATAATTTGTAAGCTTGACAAGGAGAATATGTTTAGTCTAACAGATAATTAAACTTCCCAAAAATGTCGGAGAAGGTCTTTTCATCTATCCTTTTGTATACAAACTGTATGAATTGATCAAACTCTAGCTTCGTTCCTCAACTTTTCAGGATAAACCTTTAAAACTGTAAAAAGCATAATTGTTCTCAGAAAAAGTGGTTAACCGCCCTATACGCAGTTTTTTGTTTAGATGACTGTTTTCTATCATTTGCTAATTTGCTAAATTATACGCAAATACAGGATCCCGGGATACCGGCCTTTTTAAGGTCCCAAAAATCCCGGGATTCTTGGCAAATAATCCCGGGATTTTCGGGATTTGTAAATTGCACTGATGGCAATAATAGAAACTCCTTTTCTTAACCAGTATTGGTTATATTTCTTGTTTTATTTAATAATTAATATTTTTTATAAATGTCTAGCTCATTATACATACAACACCGCGCGATAGTAAATTTTAAACAAAAGTATCAATATATTCGCGAAACCATGGGCCAAATATAGTAAAATTCAGTTTTTAGTTTTTCACTCTGTCGTCAGTAATTCAAATATTTTTTTTTAAATTCAGAGAAATATGCTTAGAGAAGAAGTATGGGTATCAAATTAAAGAGGTAATTCAGTGTAAGTTAAACAGATTGAAGTTTTTGGTGTAGAAGGACTGGTAAGTATTGAAAATGTCCTTTTAAAATTTTTGTCCTTGAGATTTCGCAATATTTGTTTTTGTAAAAAATTAACTAACTTTATCAGCTTAAAAAATTCCCTATTCGTCCTCGTGAATCCGAAAAATTTTATTTTTTTTTTAATTCTAAAGAAATTTCCTCTTGCATTCGGTACCCATAATTTTATTCTACATTGCATTGAATTTCTTAAATAATTTTTGGAATTATTCATATCTTCGAAATTACAAATAAATCCTGACGTCAGAGAGAAAAAATAAAAACACCACTTTAAATAAAAAAGTAGGTTTCATACTCATTTATTTATTATTTATTTTATGGTAGGAGAGCTTCTCAAACAAGATAGAAGCAATTTTTTCGATTTAAGTTGTTGAAAAGTAAAAAGGTGTTCGCACGAGGCGATTTTGCGTTCAACTTTTGAGTTCAACTCACGCAGGTTCGCACGAAAAAAAGTTGAATAGCTAAATGTTGGCTGGCGACCAACTTTGTTGAAAGCGATTAGTTGAAAGGCCGTTCAACCAAAAGTAGAATGCAAAGTTCAACAATGCAAAGGCCTTTTTATGGCGAATATTTTGAAAATTTTTTATATTTTGATATTTTTAACCATTCAATTTTTTTTCGTGCAACCCTGCGTGAGTTGAACGCAAAAGTTGCCTGAAAAATCGCCTCGTGCCCTATAATGAGTATTTGAATCCCGCGACTAATCTCGGGATCCCGGGATTGTGATAACGACATACCGAAAATCCCGGGAAAAATTAACATCCCTACTGTTCACACACACGCCAAAAACTCCTTCAGCTTGTACTCACTGCCCATACACGTTTGTGTGCATAAGACTAAAACAAACTCTGCTCACAGCAAAGTGTGCTGTTTGTTCCCTGCAGAAAAGCTGACTATATCAGAACTAGCGTAGAACTAGACCTTTTGCCGACAGTACTAGTTCTATCTCAATACTCAAGCAATGCCTTAAACTGTCCAGTTTTACACGGCGATGACATTGGCGGTGGTAATTGTCGCCCACATGTACATGTAATACATGTGTGCGAGCCGGTTTTTTACAAATTTCTGCTCATGCACATGCACATAATATATTTTTAAAGTAAACTTTTTTATACAACGTTGGTTTTAAAAGACAATTCAATAAAAAGTGATATGTCTTTTTTTTTATATGACAGAAACATATTAAAAAATTATTTGAAGATTTGAGCTAAAATTCGAATTGTACAAGTCATCGTACAGTTACCGAAAAATGCCTACAGCTGAGATCATCTGTTTTTGGCATTTGCTCTTATCTTTTACGATTTCTTTCATTTCTATTACAATTCCCTGAAAAAAACTGTGCGCCTAATCTCTAAAGAGAGTATTCCGAGATTACTCTCAATCGGGTACAATTGGGCATTAATTAGTCGCAACTAGTCTCATATGGGTACTAATGGAGATCAATTAGTTTCGACTCATCCCTTACGGGTATAATTGGAGATCAATTAGTCTCCGACTCATCTCTAACGGGTACTATTAACGATTTAGTGATATGTACGCACTTAGTCAATGAAATTTCATGTGCGGCGTTGGCACGTAGAGAGGGTATCGCTTAACCAACTTGAGCACGCAACCTGATTCGAATCGCGGCTGACGCAAATTTTTATTTTTTTTTACTGGTCACTGGAACTGGTTTGTGCGGGTATAAAGGGGAACAATTAGTCCCTTAATAGGACTTTCTCGAACAAAAGCGAACAGTTCATTCCATATAAAGAGATCAAAAGTGGTATTAGTCGCATGCTCCTTTGCGATTGCTCCCGGAGTCATCCCGGATTACTCCCATTTTTTGCCAAACATTTCCCAAAAACGTAAATTTTGAGTTACATATCTATGGAAACAAATATGTTTGCGGTCATTTATTTTTGAGAACTACAACATTAAGTTAAGTTAAGTTACGGAAATTAAGTCTAGACTAACTGAGCTTTTACGATGAAGTTTTTTATGAAATACTAAGAATCGCCTGCGATAATACTGTACATCTCAGCCCAGATTACATTATTTCTGATTTCGAGAAGGCAATCATTTCCGTTACAAAATCATACTTTCCCAGTGTAGTCAACAAAGGATGCTTTTTCTATTTTGGGCAAATTTTGTGGCGAAAAATTCTAAGCGAAAACTTGCCTCCATTTACGGAAAAGACGAAAACTTTTCTTTGCAAATAAGAATGCTAAAATGTCTAGCTTTTTTGGAACCAGAGGAAATACCCCAATACTACTATGATCTTAAGAAGCCCATGAGCAAAAATTGTGCAAATATATTAAAGTGGATGAAAAAAACTATATAACCGGAGCGTCAACGTCTAGAAGTAGATATTCACGTAGTAAAAACACATTAGCATATCCGCCATCCTTTTGGTCAATATATGAACAAATGGATATAAATATTGCAACAACGCAGAATACGGTGGAAGCCTGGCACAGAAAAATGCAAGTTATAATTGATAAAAACCATGTCGGAGAATATAAACTAGCACACCACTTAAAAGAGAAATATATTGTTGTTAAAAATAAAATAAATCTTATGAACTCCCAAAATTTAATTAAACCTAAAATTGGCGTATCAAAAAAAAAAAAAAGGAAAAAATTTTCAGTAATTTAAGTAAAAAAAAGAGTACTCTAAAACAGAACTTTTAAGAAATTTAGCATATTACACTTCTCTAGATAAAATGCTTAAATTAATATAGTTGAATAATAATTTAAAAACACGGGGATTGGATATTTTCACGTTTAAAGCTTGGGATTAAATCGAGCTAGGAATTTTATGACGAGTAAATACCTTACAATTCATCTTAAAAGTTGTCTTGAGCTCAGCTGTCGATGCATTTATGTGTTTGTTTCTTACAAAATGTGTCATTTTGAATATTGTAAGTTCCCTTACATTTTAAGTTCGGTAGTAATGTTAATTTAAGTTCTTTAATACCAAGGCAATTGATAAATTTATCATTAATTATCAAACTATTAAATACTAGCCCTTACCCACTTTAAATATAACAAAAAAGGAAATAAAGATTTTGCATTGAAAAAAAGCGTGTATATGGCAAATTTATCTTGAAAATTATTGGGCAAAGAAAAGCCTCATTGTCTTTAAAACTGAAAAATTTATAAGTATTCCAGAACATGGTCAATTTGTCAAATATATATCAGCTAAATTCGTTATTTCAATATAAAAAAATATCTTTAATGGGCAGCAATTCTTTTAAAACATGAACAAAATCATATAACCGCCTAGACTTCTTTTTTCGAGTCAAACCCCCATTGGTATATTTCATTTAGCTTGAACAGAATAGGTTAGGATAGGTTATGTAAGCGGGGTGCCTCCGAATATGGAGGCACACTTGGACTCGACTAACAAAATAAAGAGATAGACATTTCTGCTTGATTTTAAACATTTTTTTTTTTAAGATAGCATTTCAGGTAGAATTTTATCCAAAGATCGACCAATTTTTTACTTGTTTTTGAAAAGGAGGAACCCTATGCAAAATATTTTCGAAATAAAGCTTTCTTAATCCTCACTAGTTTAACACACATATTATAATATTTTATTCAACGTCTTATTTAAATTTATTTAAACTTTTTGAAAAGTTGGCACCTCTCTTAAAATATTTCTACAATAAATCATTCTCGTTTGATACCCACATTAAAATATTTCGTTTAGACTTTTTAATAAAATTGATTTCAACTTTTTAAACAGATAGCAACCGTCTCAAAGTATATTTAGTTATCAATTAATCAATTAATTGACTTTTACTTTTTTAACAGGCGGCAACCCTTTTAAAAAATACTTCCGAAATATATAGTTTCTGAACCGCCTTCGCTTGATAACATTTTGTTTAACCTGTTAATTAATCAGTTTTTGCTTTTAAAAGAGGTGGTCACTCGCTCCAAGAAAATATATAAACCAGGGGTGGGCAAGGCCGAGGCCGAAAAGAGCCACATGTAAATTCTTAATTCTACAAAGAGCTACAACAAAAACTAAAATTTTATTTTTAAATAAAATTATTATTAGAAATGACAAAACATTCATTTTATTATTATTCTAATGCACGTAAGATAGATATTAAAGAAAGTTCAAAAGATCCCTGGCCGAATTTTCAAAATCTGGTTGTGCGTCAGTTAAAGCCGTTCGTAACAGTTCTGTTAAATGTTGGTTAATCAATTGTAAACGATATTTCGACTTTAC